CTGGGTTGGGCAGCTCCATGAGGTGTATCATCTCGGGGCCGATCCACAGCCACGCGCCGCGGTAGGGCAGCTTGCTGTGGGGGCGGTCGGGGTTGATCTCCAGGCCTGGGGGCGGGGGCCGGGGGAAGGCGGGGCGCGGGATACGGTGAGACAAACGAGGGACAGGTGCGACTGCGCGTCCGCATCCAGTTGAGTGGGAGGGGTGCGGCCAAGGCAGCGGGGATGGCGGGCCCATGGGCCACCGCAGCGCTCTTGCATGTGCTTGATTCTCCAGATACAAGGCGTGTTGCTGACAACAAAGGGGTTGCCGACAAAAGCAAGCCCCCAGCAGAGATGATACCAGGGCCGGCGGCGCGTCTGCGGCAGGCGGCCCTGGCCGCTCACCCAGGACCCCTTGGTAGAAGTCCAGGCTCTTCTCCAGGCTGGCGCAGATGAGGGCGACGTGGTGCACGCCATGGATCACAACGCTGCCGCCTGGTGGGAGGGGGCGGGTTGTCATGGGAGGCTTCAGGGGCGGGGATGGTCAAGAGGTGGAGCGCGACGGGTAAGGGCAGGCATGTGGGCGGCTACTGCAAGAGTTCATGTGCTGTAGCTGGCGGGCAATATGGCGCATGAAGTTCAGCGAATGCACCTGCGCTGCGCGAGGACGACGGCGCGGCCGGGGCCTCGAGCGCGGTCACGAGCGCCGAGCGGGGGCGGGGCGCGGCGCCGCCCTGTGGGAGAGGCCCGACGCTTGGCCTTGAGATGAGCCTGCACGCGAGGTGGGGAAAAAGCGGAGGGACGAGGGGGGGTGCTATGCGAAGGGATGCCGTGCAATGAGGTGTTTCGAGAGAGTGAGCGCGGGCAGTAAGATCCGTCGCCCAGGCCGCGAGACTCACTGGAAAGGCGCACGGCAGGTTATGTACACCGCGTTAGTCCTGCTGCGCGCGGCAGTGCCTGCGCGACCAGGGCTGGACGCGGTGGTGAGATTGCACGCCATCACTGGGCTGTTACAGCGTGTTCGAGTGTGGTACGTGCAGTAATATCTGTGTTGACCATTATGACACCTGGCACCCTAAGCTGAGGTGGCTAGCAGGTCGCCAGACGGGCGACACTCTACTGCGTGAGCGCTCCGTGCCCTCCCCCAGCGCAGTCAAGCTTGGTGCTCTTGAGGCAGCGCGCCAAGTAGGACAGTCGGGTCACTGTAGGCGCAAGTTGACTTATGTCACTCCCAATCATAGCAGGCCTCAACGCACATGAATGATTGACGGGGTCTGCCAGTGCGTCAGGCCGCCCAGCAGCAGAGTTGACCGGTGCGGGAACTTAGGGGTTCTGCTATCCCAATGGTGCGAGTGTGCGAGCAACGACACATGCAGCAAATACGGTTATTAGAATGCTGCAAGCGGACAACACAGGGCTTGAGACGAATATCTGAGCGGCCCCGTTCATGACTGAAGTGTATATGTCGAGTGAATGTGTTCTCAGGGAACACACAGCTTACTGTACGTACTAAAAACATGAGCCGCACAATCGGCATCTTTTTGCCACGCACAGCATACAGGCACCCAAAGCCTTTTAGCACTGATCAGCAGCACGGCAAAGAGCGTGCGATCCTCGCCCTCTTCATTGCAAGCCGCCAAGCATTGACAGCCCAGCAGAATTGTCGCATGCTGCACGTCCCGCCTTACATGCGGCAACGTCCGCGAAGTGTACCTTTTACTGGCCCGTCACCACACCACTGCAGTTGTTCGGGCCGCAGCATCGGGCGCGGCGCGGACGGCCGCGGAAGCTTGCAGTGCAACACAACCACCTAGCAACGACGATGGACGGCTTGCAGCCATTGGCTTTGAGTTGAAGCGATAATGCAGCGTGATGAGGTCCTTTGGTCACCCACTGAATAAACCATGCGGCCCAGCTCTTCGCCGCGGTCATCCACCGGTGACAGCTCCCCGGGTGTGTGTTGTTGGCGGCCTCATAAAGCGAACGAACGTCGCGCAATTCAATCAGAGCAGCTTTCACATTCACATGCTCATTGCAAGCTAGAGCCTCTATTATCCCGCAGCCACGCGCTCCTGGCACTTCGTTGTTGCAAAACTCTCCTTTCGCCCCTCCACGAGCCCCTTCTCAACATGAAGCGCTGCCTCACCTCTCTTCTGGGTAAGCGCGCAGCTGTGCCATGCCTCACAGACGGCGCACGGGCCAGGGAGACTTGCCGCCTGCTTGCATGAGCAGCTGCCGACCACGGGTGCCGTGAGTTGACCGAGCCCGGGTTACACCCCGCTGCGTCCTTCCCGCTCACCCTCGCACGCCGGCCAACGCAGTTGCCACACCCTGCCAACCACCCCACCAATGCGCAGTGTTGTCCCTGGCGTGCGCCGCACTGGCCGCGCCCGCGCTGCGCGCCGGCGGCATCACGTCCGAGGCGGCAGAGGCGGCGGCCGCGCCCGCGCGCGCGCTGCTTTCCGAGAAGAAGGCCGCGGCCGTCAAGGCGGCCGCCAGCCAGAAGAACTTCCCCGGCGGCTTCGGCGGCGGCTTCAGCAACGTGAGCAAGCGGTGCTTGTGGGTGCTTTGCTTCGTGTGTCAGTGTGTCGTCAGAGCAGTTGGCGTCCCTGGCAGCCCACACCCCAGGGTTGTCGGTCCTCTGCTTGGCGGCCCCACGCCAAAGTTCTCAGTCAAAAGGCCGTGAGCGACCAGCTGATAACCCAACCGCCCCTTCCCCCCTCTCCTCGCTGCTCTGCAAACCCATGCGCCTGCACCTCGCCCGTGTTGCTTTTTCATGTTGTCAAGACCTTCCACATCCCTCCTTGTGACAAATGCGCGCCTCACCTGCAAAATCTCAACCCCTCGGCTCCCCGCAGGCCAACGCAGCCGCCAACGCCGAGTCGTTCGACTTTGGCGATGACTACGGCGGCGGCTGGGGCGGCCCCAGCGGCTGGGGCGGCCTCACGCCGGTCGCTGCCAACGCCCAGGCCTTCACCAACGCTGGCTTTGGCGGCTTTGGCGCGCTCTCCAGCAGCAACGCCGCGGCCAACGCGCAGGTGGGCTGGTACAAAGGGCGCAAGACTGGGGCGGCCGCTGTGCGGGGGCCTGGGCATGCCTGTCGACTGTGCCGCATGTGCATGGCTTTGGTAAAGTGGTCCGGCGATGAGAGGGCGGCTGCCTAATCCACCCTCATGCTGGCGTTGGCTCACCCACGGCCCCACCGCTGCACCACCTCTTCCGACTTTCTCCTACCATTACAGACCTTCAGCCAGGGTGGCGTGAGCGCCGCCAAGGCCTCCGCCCAGACTTTCAGCAGCGGCGGTGGCTTTGGCGGTGGCGCCAGCACCGCCAGCGCCTCTGCCTCCTCGTCTTCCCTGGGCGGGGGCGGCGGCTGCTGGGGTTGCGGCGGCGGCTTTGGCGGCTTTGGCGCGAGCCGCGCCAACGCAGCTGCCAACGCGGTGGGCGGTGGCTTTGGCGGCTTTGGCGGGTTTGGCCGCCACCTGCTGAGCCTGCTGAAGCTGTGATCGCGTGGGCATTGCTGACCCACTGCTGGCGACACCCTTTAGGGCCTGCTGTGCGCTTGCGCTGCGCAAGCGCTAGCCTGGCGCGCGGCACACGTGCGCACCTGTCCCCTTTATGAATTAAGCTCAACGGATGTTCACTACACTCCCAAGAAGCCAAGGCAACACCCTGCCTGTGTGTCAAACAGTGTATCTAGGCTTGCATCCAGCCCTGTGTTCCCTGCTGCGCCTTGCGCGGCTGTTGGCTGTTATTGCGGCCGGTAAAGGCAAGCTGGCCTGACATGTCATCTTTTGAACAGTTTCATCCTTCAAGATGCCCCCGCCTGCTCGCTTGACACTGCGGCACGGCACAGGCTCGCGCGATGAAGAGTGACGGTTTTGTGCAAGGGGGCGGTGATGTGGCGTTTGCCCTAATCCCATGGCGACATACCAGCTGGAAAGTAGCTTGTAATAAGTGGAGTGTAACTCACAGAGCATGCTACAGGCTGGTGGGCAACGGGCCGGCCCAGCAATGACAAATGAACGTTGGAAGAAGTCAGCCAAAAGAAACTTTGCAGAGGTGGGCGCCTCGCCGGCGCTGTGCCACCACAACAATGGATTGATCATTGATGCACGTGCGCACGGCAACCCTCGCTTGGGATGCCTAACCACCGCACGGAGGCTGTCTCACCCCGCGAGCGTCCGGGGCTGCGCCAGGCAGATGGCGTGTGCAGCCGCCTGGACAGTTCCGAAAGGCTGCCAGGGAATCGAACGCCCGCTGCGGCTCTGCACGGACTGGCTCTGGATGCCGACGACGGCCATGTTCATGGCGGATATGTTCAGGGATCAGCATCCTGCTATGCAGCCTGCCCGCCAGGTGGCCGACGAGCGCGTCTTCTGCGGCAATGATCACGTTCCATCAAGCGCTGCCCCCAGATTTGGTCTAATGGCTGCACGTATGATGGAGGGCAGGCCTCATCACTTTGGAGGGCAGGGGTTGCTCGCCTCGCCGGCACACGCCTCACACTCCTCACCCATTCAGCAACGCAGGCGGTGGGGCACGCGCGCGTTGCCAAGAGGTACACGTACGTGGATGTTCTGGGGTTGATAAACGATTTCGCGTGCACTCTCTGCGATGGCTTCGCCTGGCCCGGCTTTGAACGACGCCGTGAAAATAAACAGTACCGCCCGCCAAGCTCGTGCTGCGGGCGCCGTGGCAAAGTGGTCGATGGCTGACCCAGACTCGGCACACAGGACATCCGACAGTGATTGAGCACACCCATCAAATAGTCTTCAACCCGAAAAGCTACAGGGGGCTTTCAGAATTCAAAGATCCTGCCGAAGTGACAAGGCAGCGGCGGTCGCGACCGTGGTCGCGACAGCTCAGCACCGAAATACCACTGGCATTGACCTTGGTCGTTCATTTTATCGCTTTTGTTGCTAGAAGCTGTTCACATTGCATCTGGGCCACCTTCGGCCGCACCGTCGGAAGACAATCCCACTCCGACCCGGCGTCCTCGCACGCCCTTTGCCAAAGCCCGGCTTCCTCACTTTATAGTAGTTTTGGATGTGTTGATAGTCTGGAAAGGGCGAGTCACCGCCCTGTAGCCGTTCGTAGCCAGCACGCGGTGCCGGAAGCGCAGCCTAACGCCGATCAGATCGTGACGAGCGCCTCGCTGCCTGGTTGCCACCCGATCAGCTAGCCCACTCACGTAGCGGACAGGCACGCGCGCATCCAGATGGGGGCCGGCCCCTCACGCGACCGGGCCGTGCTGTTGGAGGCGGCGAGGCGGGGCGATTCCGCTGCTGTCGCTGCGGCGCTGAAGCAGGCGGGCCCGGCGCCCCTCGTCCGCGCGGCGACACTGCTGCGGCGCCAGAGCGTCCTGCACGTTGCAGCCAGGCACGGCCAAGCAGAAGGTGCGCACATGGCATTTGGTTGCGGGCCAGGTCTCACTTTTTCAGCGCAAGAACTGTTGGGGTTTGCGGGACCGTCACCATGTGCCCAAAATGAGTTCTCGCTAGGACGACGGCGCGCTCATGAGCATCTGCATGCATTTGCCATGTTCGTTGCCCAGGGCGTTGCTTGTGTGGTCGTACGCCTTCAAATGAAGGTTGAGCTTGTATAAACGCTACGTATTGGCCTCAACACACCGCCGCCGCCCCCCCACACTCACCGCCGCCCGCGGCGCGCAAGAGGCGCGCAGCAGCCGCCCCTGTACTGCCCAGCGCGGCGCCTCACAGCAGGCCCCGGCCCCTCACCACCACCACCCTCCCCTTGTTGCGACCCCACACACAGTGGTCAAGGCGGCACTCGCGCCCCTCATATCCGCAGCACGCCAAGAGGCCTTCGACGCCACCGCAGCCGCCGCCGCCCCCACCGCCGCCGCTTCCGCCGTCGGCGCCACAGCTTCTGCCGCCTCGGAGGCGCAGCCAGCCGGCGCCGCCGACCCTGCGGCCGCCGCGGCGCCGGCCGCCGACGCGCCCCGCCCGGCGGCGGCTGCAAAGCCCGCGGCCGCGGCGCTTCGGGCTGCGGTGAATGCACGAGATCTGTCAGGGCGCACGCCGCTGCACTTTGCGGCTAAGTACGGCCATTTAGAAGCCATCAGGTGCGGGGCCACCCCTGTGGCTGCTGCACACCCGGGGAGCGCGGCATCAAACGCGCCCATGCCGCCTGCTCGGGCACACCAGGGGCCGCATCACGTGCCGCCGCCGTCGCTCATACGAGGTGCCCGAGCGAAACGAGAAGGAATCCCTGCCTCCTGTTTTGCTTTGTTTCGCGCAGGCAGCTGCTGGCGACGCGCGTGGTTGATGTTCTGGCGGTGGACGACGTGGGCTTCACCTGGTGCGGCGATATAAGAATTATTATCATTATTATTACTATTGTTATTATGATTACTATTTTTATTATTATTATTATTATTATTATTTATTTTATTGTTATTAGTGTTATTAGTACTATTACTGTTGTTACTATTATGGTTTCTGTATTTGAATGCCGCCCCCGCTCCACTCATGCTGACCTGTCAGCTTCCGCACACTCGCCTGCAACCGACGGCCGCCAGCCCCACTCGCCATGCAACCGCCGGCCGCCCTGCCCGGATATCATTATACCGCCCCCACCCGCCTCAAGGCTCACCCCCTCCCCCTCTCCTGAAACGCTCGCCGCCGCCCTTGCACCCTAGCCTGCACGTGGCGGCTGTCAGGGGTCATCATGACGTCATCGCCCTCATCCTGGGGGACACCCCCACCCTCGGCACGTCGACTCGCAGGTGCGACCCGTCCTGCCGCCTCCCCTTCACCTGCCCCCGTTGACAGGGTATTCATGCCTGCTAATCCGCCGCTGCCGCCCCTTGGTCCAGTTGGGCTTCTTTATGCACATAAAGTGCAAAACTGCCTGCAAACCTCACACCCCAGCCCTGCATTTGATGTTAATCAACACTGGTCAACCCTCGAGCCTCGACCTATACCCTTAGGCACCCACGTCCGCTCGCCCCCACCCAGGCTCGTCAACCGCCGCAGCGTGAGCGGCTTCACGGCGCTGTGCTACGCGTGCTGGGCCGGCTGCGAGACCTCCGCGCGGCTGCTGCTGCGCCACGGGGCGGACATGAATCTGGCCAACATGTTTTCTTTTGACCAGGTGGGGCCTGGGGCCGCTGCTGCTGGATGTGCGGGGCGCTGCCGCCGGATGCTATCATGATGATCATCCTGGCGCGCTGGACGCACGCCAGGAAATTGTTTTCGGTGGTTGATGTTGATGCGTGCAGCAAGCCTCAATGCCACTTGTGGGGCTGGACGTCCAAGGCTGGTGGCAAGTGAACCTGCGCCATGTCCAGGCGGTGATAATTCCGTCGCGGTCCTTTGTCCACCACAAATCACCTGTGCCTCACAAACTTCCACGCCTTGTTTTCAAAACATTATTGCCGCAGCACGCGCCTGTCGCACTGGGCAGCACGCCGCTGCACCTTGCCGCCATCAGGGGCCACGAGGGCCCGGCCCTGGCGCTGCTGGAGCACTACGTGAGCTTTGACCGGGTTTGACGAGGGGTTCCGGCCTTGCTGTGCGTCACTCATGTCTGGCCGGGTCAGACCAGGGTGTCGCAATGCTTGGGAGTCGTGAAGGGCTTGCCAGCTGCTCTTGAGACTCGCTGGTTGGCATGCATCGGCAATAATCAAAGTCTTGCAGCCATTGTATGTGTGTGAGCTGCTTCGGTTCTGGAACCCTCCCCCTCACCCGCACTCAACCCCACACTGTCCGGCCCCACACGCCAAAGTATCGTCATTGCCGCGACGCTTCCCTTCACCCCCACTCCACCCGCCACTACCATAACCCCTTTGCCGCGCTGCACCGCCAGGCGACCCTCCTGGCCGCCCAGCCGCCCGGCCGGCGCCCCCCCCGCGATCCCCGCCGCGCGGCCAACCTTCAGGGCCTGACGCCCGCGGCCGCGGCGCGGCAGTCCTGCCAGCCGGCGCTCGCGGCCCTGGCAGACCCGGAGGTGCCTATAGCCAGCGTGGTGGACGTGACGACGCTCGGCAGGTGCGTGTGTAATTGTGGGTGCGTGTGTGTGCCTCCGTGTGTTTGTGTGTGTGTGTGTGTGCATGTAAGCGCGCGTGCGAGTGTGTGTCTTTGTGTATGTGTGTGCATTCGTGTGTGTGTGTGTGTGTGTGTGTGTGTGTGTGTGTGTGTGTGTGCGCGTGCGGGATACCTGCCGCATGTGTGCAGGTGTGCGTTGAGGGACGCTCGGCAGCGCCGGGCGTGCAGTACGCCGCCCGCAGCCATCCTCAGACCGGCGCCCCCCTCTGACCCGGCCGTCGCTTGATTTCGCACGACCTGGCCTGGGCAGCGTGCACCTCCATTAACCCCGCACGAACCCGCCCACCCACCCACTCGCGCCGCGCCGTGTGCAGGCTTCGCGCGCCACC